TTTTTTTTGTATGACTAAAAAAAAATTACAGTACAAATTTCCATGCAGTGTTTTTTTTTTTAAGAACAAATTTTTTGACATTCTTGGAATTGTTGGAATCGTAGCCAACTGCTATTTCGATTATAGATTTAAAAGTATAGATAACAAAGCCGACTTAAGTATATAATTTTGCATTATGGTCACAAAAATGATAAAAATTTATACGTTTTAAAAATCTCTATGACATTTCCAATAGAAAAGCAAATTTTTTTTTTTTGATTTGCTAGAACTTGAACTTGTTGCCATCGTACAATGCTCTTAGTTCTGCACTCATATATTTTATATACATATACAAATTATAATAATATTTAAGTAATAATTTTTATTCATTATTCTCAAAGTATTGTTGTATGTTATTAAATAAAATTATAAAATGTTTGGAATATAAAATGTTAACACGCCATCTATTAAAAGTATGTAATTTCACTTCAGTTAGAATTATTAAATTAAAATATATATATGTACACAACATGAAAGCAATTTATATATAGTGATTATAGACTGCAAATTAAAATTTTTACGTATTTTAGTTGCATTTGGATAATTATTTGAATAGTTTCATAATAAATTGTTATTTAAATAAAAAAAAAATACTTTCAGTAATTATAGTCTTATTTTTTTAAAATTTAAATATTTTTAAGTGTTTAAATAAAATATTGAATATTTTTAATATTACAATCGTATATAAAGTTTCAAGATAAAACAGATTATTTTAGTTTTCGAACTGTGATCTAACTTTTGGGAGTTCTATGTTGTTATATTTCATATTTACTTCTGTGTAATTAATTTATAAGCTAGTGTCATTACTACCTGTACATTTAAACAGTTCAATTAGAATTGCTGTTCAGATATTTCGGAATGTTTATCAGTATTCATATGAAAAAGTTTTGCCACGTTCTTCTATACTAAACTGAATGTGTGCTATTTTTTTATGTTTTGTCAAATTTTTTGAAATTTTAATTGACATCGAGTTATACTGTCATATGTCTCAAAATCGTTTTCAATATTATTGTGCCGCGTCGAACTTACACGAAATATTTTTACATTTTTGATGATTGCTGTAAAATTAACTTAGCACACGCAAGATCGTAAGATCATAAGATTTTTTTTACCAAGATCAAACTCCCTGAAGACCGCGTTCTTTTCTGAAAAATGTATCGATTTCTTATTTTAATTGTTCAGCAATATACTTCCAAATTTTGTTATCCGTATTCTTTGTATATTTTCCAATTTATTTCAATATGAAATGCAATACGAAAACGGTACCAATACTCTTATTATTTTAAGTTTCAGCTCCTGTTCCCCTGGGTATTTCATATTTTTTCCATCAAAAAGAATCGTCAAATCTTGCGAAATATTCTGTCAATTACATACCATATGTGTTTCCCATGATCACAAAGAGAAAATTTCAAATAAATAGAAAATTTTAATTAAAAATTTAATTAAATTTTTAATAAAATAATTATTTCATATAATTCAAATATATTAATTAAATCAAAAAGGAAGAAAAAATAGCTTACTTTTAAAAAATCATTAATTAAAAAAAAAAATCACAATTTTAAAGAATGGCCGAGTAAATAATGACGTTTTAATTAATTTACAGGTATGTGTGTGTCGTTTGGTATTTTCCGCATTTTTTGCAAAATGAAAATTTTTTTTATTTCAATTCCTGTGATTGAATTTTAATTTAAAAACTTTATTGTATTTATTTATTTATTTTATTCTTTATTAAATTTTTCTGTTTTAATATTTAAATGTTTTATTGAATTCTTTTGTACACAAATACTTTTGATTGACAAAAATAGCGCCAAAAAAAAGAAGGTTTTTTTTTTTGTTTTCAATTATTGCTTTTGTTGTTATTTCCAATCCTATACTGCCACAACCCTTATATTAACAGTTATTTATATTTAAATGTGATTAACAGCTCTAGCTATATATATACATTACTTATAATTTGCTTGATGATGATGATGATTTTTCATTCATGCTTGATTAAGGATTTAAGGATGTTGATTGTTTTCTTTTTTATTTGGTTGCATTTTTTATTCGTTTATCAAGAAAATCGTGTCCAAATATACTTTTGTTTCGCGTTTTTCTTTGATCCTGTGCTTTTTCCTTTTCATGAATAAATTTTGTGTGTGTCCGACAATTTTTCTTGATTTGTTGATTTTTGTTTTTTTTTGTTTCTTTCTTTTTTATTATTTTAGATTTGGGTCAAGGCAAATTTTATTTTTGTTGATAGAGATTTTTATATATTTATTTATTTTTTTGTTTTCTTTGTTTTTGTTTGCATTTAAAAAATAAAGTTCCTTACGGTGAAAGTACAAAAGAATTAAAGTGAAATGGTCAAATTAATAAAGTTTTATTCTTTAGATTTTTTTCGTGTTTGCATTTAAATTTAAAAAGGATTGCCAAATATTTTCGAAATCGCTTGTCTCATTCATTTTAAATCGAAAATAATATCAGAAGAGGAGAGAATTATTGCGCCACCGCTGGTCGTATATCGTAAATTAATGCGCACTGAATTCGAATTGGAAATTTAACTGAAATTCACAATTACATACCTATATAATAAAAAATTGTAAATTGTTTTCCAGAAATTATTTTAAACAATATTATCAAATAATTTTATTTTTTTAGTATGGAGGTTTTCGTTTGTGGACGCTGCGCTGAAAATTCTACATTGGAACTTTAATTAAACTTAAACAAATTCTGAAACTTCTAAATAATTAATCGTTCGAAAATAACATAAATGACATTATTATGAAACTTAAATTTTGAAATATTAAAATTATAAAAAAAAATCTCATGTGGCAGGGAATAAATCTAAACTAAATGATTGCGTTACATTTCTAATTCTTTCCTTAATTAGAAAATGGATTTTCGAACGCATTTGATTATAGCAGGTAATTTCCGAACCATCTATAATTTTCAATTGTGTACAATTTTCGAAAATGTTACGAGTAAGAATTAATCTAGAACTAAATCCATGAGAACCCCACTCCGTATTTTTAATATAGTAGTTTTTTTTTTTTTCAAAAGTTTATTACAAAAATTAGTAAGAAAATTTGATTTTCTTTTTAAAATTTCTATTCTATCAGAATTTTATTAAACATTAGTTGAATTTTTTTGACATTTCCTCAATTAAACAAACTGCAATCACTTGAAAAAAGGATGGCCATATGCAGTATTTAATTTCTGTGTAGCATTATAAGTCAAAATGATTTGGTAACTCTGTTACGACACATGTAAGAATATTTGTAAATTGTAATATTCAGCATTGTAATAAATTAAATTTTTTTTTTATTTTTTTGAATATAAAATGTTTAATTTTTTCATGTTTTGTTGAAAATGATTACAAAATAGTTTAAAAATGCACTAAAAATATTGTGCAAGCAAGATAAAAAAAAAGTAATTGTATAAGTTTCACGCAATTACAAGTTTCCTTTCAATTTTAGTTTAGAATAAAAAAAAAAGATTTATTACTTGACACAGTTTTTGGGGTCAAACTTTTTTTATAAATTTTTTTTGTTATCTCTTCAAAGTAAGTAAAATAAGTGAAATTCAAAATTTCTTTTAAAAACTATTCATTAGAAAAAAAAACGATATATGCAATTTTTTTTCTTATTTGACAAATATAGTGTTACCGTTTTTTTTTTTTCTTTTCTGGTATTTTAGAAATTTCTTGCAATTTACGATCATCAAAAATTTAATTTTTTTTTACAAAATATTTTTGTAGTTTCTATAAAGATTTTAAGTTTTCACATTATTTTAAATCAAATTTCAAAATATTTGCAATTAATCTTGCTTTAAAGTTTTTATTTTTTCGACGTTTCCGAAGAATTCATGTTTTGGTATTTTGTTTTGAAGTGTTAAAGTTTTGTCCTGAAAATGTCATGTAATTTTTTTTTATATACGTTATCCTTTTTATGTTAATCGCTAACAATTATCGTTTTTTTTTGTTCACGTTTTTCTTGCAGAATTAAGGTTATAACAATATTTTTATTATATGTGCACATAAATTTGGTTAAGTTTAAGTAAAGAAATCTAAAAATAGGTCAAATTTTTTTTTTTGGGGTATATTTATAACTAAACTGGTTATATATAAAAGTATAATGAGTGTAATTGTAGTAAGGATAAGCATTACCATTTTTATATATAATTATATTTTATTCATGGATTTTTTTGGATTGAACGGTAGAAGATAAGTGTATAGTATTATCTAAATTTCTTAACTGTCATTTATTCATATTGTATGATATGATTGAGATATTTTAATATAGTTTATGGTTACCTAAGACGGCAAGTTGTTAATTAATTCGAAAAATCAAATTTTGACTTGATTATAAAAAAAACATGACATTTAATAAGAAATGTGGCGAAATTCGGCAGGTCCTGAAGTAATTTCGTCGCTTCTTTATCAAATTGTGTTTTCGAATTGATAAAAAATTTTGACAAAAATTTGACAATATAATTTAAGATGTATAATACACTTAATAAAGTAAATTTCCCAATAATGGTTCCTAAAAATTTCCTAGCTTGACATGCATTGGTTGAAAACTCAAATATACAAAAGATCATCATTTTTATGAAGCAAGAAATGTATTTTAATATTCAAAACCAATGTCCTTATTCGAATTATATTAATATCATTTTAATAATATTTTATTTATTACCTCTGACTGAAGTTCAATGATTTATGTTATCACACTACGAGTAATAACGAGTTCTATAACCTGGCTCGGTCACATCATTTTTAAGTTATATGGTAACGCTTTTGCGATAAATATTCATATATTCATACTTTCAACATAACTTGCAATTTTTTCATATTTTACATACTAATGCATCCAAAATAGAATTAAATTAAAATATATTAGTTCGGCGTATAATTTTAATTGAAGATTCTTAAATTACTTTTGAAAATGTGAATAATTTTTTTATTTAATTTATTTTTAAAGGACATCGCACAAACCGTACAACACTATCAAGTGCTAACGGTAGTCATATGGAAAATATTCCACCATCAAATCAACCACCACAACCGACTGGTTTAGCAAAATCACGTTCAACAACAAATGCATCAAAAATGTCAATAACAGGTTCACAAGCATCACAAATAGCCCAACCAAGACGTTCATATGTTGTTAAAGAGGTTGAAAGGCTTAAAGAGAATCGTGAAAAACGTCGTGCTAGGCAAGCTGAATTAAAAGAGGAGAAAAATGCATTAATGAATATGGATCCGGGTAATCCAAATTGGGAAACAGCAGCAATGATTCGGTAAATATTTTTTTTTTTTATTATTTTGATTTAATAGAAAAAATATTTAATAAAAATGAATTTGGTTTTTGTTTTTGCAGAGATTTTCAAAGTACATTAGAATTCCGACCGTTAGTTGATGGCCAACCAGTTGAGGATCATCAAATTACTGTATGTGTAAGAAAAAGACCAGTTAGTCGCAAGGAACAGATGCGTAAAGAAATTGATGTGATATCAGTGCCTAGCAAAGATACTCTTATGGTTCATGAACCAAAAACAAAAGTTGATTTAACAAAATTCTTAGAAAATCATAAATTTCGTTTTGATTATGCATTTGATGATACTTGTTCAAATGAAATTGTTTATAAGTAAGTTTTTAAGAAATGTTTTTGTTTGAATATCTCTAAAATTTTAATTATATTTTGCTTATTCTAATTTTTTTTAGATATACAGCAAAGCCTTTAGTTCGGACAATATTTGAAGGTGGTATGGCAACATGTTTTGCATATGGTCAGACTGGTTCAGGCAAAACACATACTATGGGTGGTGAATTTAATGGTAAAATACAAGACTGTAAAAATGGTATTTATGCTATGGCAGCTAAGGATGTATTCGCATACCTAAATAGTTCACGATACAATCATTTAAATTTAGTTGTATCAGCAAGCTTTTTTGAAATTTATAGTGGAAAAGTATGATAATATTGATTTGATATTTGTTTTATATTTATTATGTATAAAAGTTGTTTTTAAATTAATTTTTTTTATTATTATCTTTTAGGTTTTCGATTTACTTTCTGATAAACAAAAACTTCGTGTACTAGAAGATGGTAAACAACAAGTTCAAGTTGTAGGGTTAACTGAAAAAGTTGTAGAAAATGTTGAAGAAGTATTAAAATTAATTCAACATGGTAATACTGCACGTACATCTGGTCAAACATCAGCAAATCAAAATTCATCTAGATCACATGCTGTATTTCAAATTGTATTAAGACCACCTGGTTCAACAAAAATTCATGGAAAATTTTCATTTATTGATTTGGCTGGTAATGAACGTGGTGCTGATACATCATCATCAAATCGTCAAACAAGAATGGAAGGAGCTGAAATTAATAAATCATTATTAGCATTAAAAGAATGTATTAGAGCATTAGGTAAACAACATGCTCATTTACCATTCCGTGTATCAAAATTAACACAGGTATTAAGAGATTCATTTATTGGTGAGAAAAGTAAAACATGTATGATTGCAATGATATCACCTGGTTTAAGTTCATGTGAACATACATTAAATACATTACGTTATGCTGATCGTGTTAAAGAATTAGTTTATAAAGATGCACCAGAACGTAATGATGATATGATGGAACAAATGGATGATGAAGATATTAAAAATGGTGAATTAAATGAAAATGAATTAGCACATTTGAGATCATTAAATGTAAGTTTTTTATTTTTTGAATGAATAATAATAGAAAATGAAAAATAATTATATTTTCATTTTTTTGTTTTAGGAACAAGACATGACAGATGAATTATATAATCAACATGCCGCTATATCAGAATTACAACAAACTGAAGAAATGGTTGTTGATCAACATAAGGCTCTAAATGATTTTCTCCTTAAATTTGTTGCTGAAAGTCGAGACTTATATAATTTGACAAATTATGTTGATTATGATCAAGACGGTAATTACATAGAAAAATTACTTTCAACCAAAGCATTTTTTTTTTAATTAAAATTTATTTAAATACTTGCTTATTAAATTATATGAGTAAAAAATAATTTCGCATTCATAATATATTTTTTTAAAATAATTTTAGCTTATTGTAAACACGGTGAAGATATGTTTACACGATTAGTTGAAGCTGCTTCACAGGTACGTGATTCAATGGCAGAATTTCGATCAAAATTAGCCCAAGAAGAGATGTTATCGTGTACAATAAAACCAACATCGAGGCACTAAAATATTTAATTAATTTTTAAAAATAAAAACAAAGAGAAATAATTGGAAAAATTTAAATTAAAAAAAAAAAATAAAAAATATTAATGATTATCCTTAAAAACAAAAAAGAAAAAATAATTCAACTAAATTTTCAACTAAAATTTAACATTATATTTAATTAAATAAAGAATTAAAATTAAAAAAAAAACACAAAAACCCAGTCTCTATAATATTAAAAAATATATAAATATAATAACATATGTGTATATATATATATATATATATATATATATATATATATTTAGATTTATATATATATATATATATATATATATTTAGATTTATAGTATATAAATCAATAGAAAGGGGGAAAATCATTAAATTAACTTAAAAAATTTATTTAAAAAAAATTAAGAAACGAAACAACCCTTTACTTAACTATATGTATAAAAAAATAAGAAACATCTTATCTAAATTACACTTATAAATACAATTGTTATTACAATAAAGAAAGGAAAAGTAAATAAATAAAACACAGAAATTATATTTATATTTGAAAATAAAATTAAAATTAAATCAAAAAAAAGAAAATATTTAATTTAGAACTTGTCAGAAAATTTATAATGTACATACATATATCATATATCAAGGATCCATATAATATGATATATGATATAAATATATGATATATATAAATGAAAAACAATTATATAAGAATAATAAACAAACAAGTAGTAATTCTAGAGAAAAGTCGAAATCATTTTAATGAAACAAGAATAGAAAAAAAAAATTATAAATTTATTTAAGAAAATTTAAAATTCGGCAAAAATACATAAAATAATTTATATATATGCATATATAGTTGTGTATGCTTATATATATTGAGTATAAAATTAAAGAAAAAATGATTAAAATCAAAGAAATGAGTAAGAAAAAAAAAACATATTTTAAAACTAAACATAAATTTAATATAATAGTATGAATAAATAAATAACTGAACCAGAAAGTAAAAAAGAAAACCTTTGCTTATATTAAAAAAAAAAATAGAAAAAAAACAAAACACTTAAAAATCATAAAGAATCTTTTTTTTTTTGCTTATCCCTAACTTTTATTAATTTTTTTAATTTTATTATTTTTTTTTTCTTTTTGATTTTAAATAATTTAAAATTACATTTATTTATGAAACACATTTATTGATAATAATAATGATAATAATTTAAAAATTTTTCTTATAGGTTTATAATAAAATAATAATATTAATTAAAAAAAATGTTATAAATGAAATAAAAACAACAACTTTATATTCTTAAAATATCAAAAAATTGGTGTTTGTTTTCTTATATTTTCTTTTGTGTCTCTTACATAGTAAAATTAAAAGGAACAAGTCTAATCTTCTATATAAAATTTTTTAGAAAATTTCGTTATGAAAATTTTGCTATAAACCAAATTAATTTACAATTAATTCCAAATAAAGATTAAAATTCACTTGAAATTATTTAAAGTTTCCAAAAGAAAAAAAAAACAAATAACTTAGGAAATTTTATTTGAAAAAAAAACAAGCTCTTCTTTGTACCAACCATTTTTATTTTTACCTTTTTAGCATCTTTTATATAATTTTTCTTAATTTTTTATTTTAAATAAAATTTTTTATAATAAAATTAAAAAATCATAATTTTTCTAGTTATATTTTATATAAATTATAGGTGTTATATAAATAATATTAATATTATTAACAAGCACATCATAAAATGCAAAATCAAAATATAAATAATATAAATTAATTTTATATTAATAACTAAGTTCCAATTTAGGTTAGAATATTGTAATAATAGAAAAATTAAGAGAAACGATGAAGAAACACTAAAATTTATTGTAAAAACAGATAAAGAAAATAAAAGATATGTGAAACGTAAATTAAATATTCAAAATTAAATTAATAAAATAATTTATAAAAAGCAAATAATAACTAAAGTTATTATAAAATAATGAATTTACTGAAGAACTTTTGAACACATAAAAAGTCCATGTATGAAAATACTAAATAATGTTGAAATAATTTCGAAGAAGAGCTCACTGTACCGAAGCAAGATAGCTTTTAGAAATTGTTTTACCTCAGGGTTTCAATTAATAATTTCGTACTTAATTCGATTCAATTTAAATTATTTAATTATTTATAAAAGATTTAGTCTTGCAGCAAGAAAAAAATTTTGTAAATTAATGTTTAGAAATTAAAACATTTTATTTTTATTAAAAAATTTCAAAACTTGTATTTAAAAATAATAGCAACTTCAAAATTAAATTTTAATGAACCCTATAGTATGTAGTATTTATAATTTTTCTCATGTTTAGATGATTTAATTGAAAGTGTTTGGGACAGAGAATCGAAAAATTAGAATTTCAAAAATAATCGATATTAAATGACACCATTAAATAAAAGAAAAAAGTTGTAATTTTTATTTTATTATTATTTTTTATTTTTTCTTAACTATTAATTTTAATAATATTATTTTTTTTATATAATACATATATTAATTCAAGTTTGATTAACTATTTAATTTACATTAAAAAAATATAATTATAAAAAAAAAATTCTACAATATAAAAATGATCATCAAAATAATGAAACATAAGAAAAAAATAATATTAAAAATACATATATATATATATATATATATATATATATATATACATATATATAAAATAAATTAAAAGAAAAAGAAGAATATCAATGTTTCGAATAATAAAAATAAAAAAACATGCTTTTTTAAAAAAATAAAAAAAATATGATTTTTATTTATGAATAATTCAAAATAGATTGTGTTTTCCGTTCGTAACCTATACTGTATTAAAAATGAGATAAGAAAAGGTATATTGTATATTAGAGGAAAGACGGTAAGGGATAATTTTATTAGTGCTGTTCCTGATAAATTCTAATACTAATGTATGTATATACTCCTGATTTAAAGTGCAACCACTACAACGCTGCCTGTTTCAAAATTCATAACTTTGAAACTTTCCGTGAATTCAGAATTGTAGTAATACTGCATTGCTACACAATTCAGCAATAACAACCGATAAGCTGAATTTTGTATTAAGTCCGTATTAGTGCAATTTTGAAGTGAAGGTTTATATACTTATACGCTGTCGAAAAATGCTTACTAGAACTTGGAATATAACATTTGCGTCAAAAACTCTTCTTTAACTCAACTAAACTTTGGAGCCTATCGTTTATGCACGCAGCGCTAAAAGTTTTACATTAGTGCTTAAATTTTTGAATCACAGTGTTAAAAATCAGAATGAATTCCCGAGCTAAATTTATTACAGCAAATAGGTTCCGAACGGTATATATGTTTGTCGTGTGCAGCGTACAATTTTTGAACAAGTTGCAACTATTCTAGAACTGAATTATCGAAAACCCCCAAATTTTAAACAATAATTTGATTAAAGAACAACCTTTTCTTTTGACAACTTCAAAGTACGTGATGAAATTAAAATGACTTGTCAAAAAATTAAGCAATAATTTTTAGTTTAAAAAAAAAAACAAACATTAAGTTTATTATTTTTCAATACTATAAATGAGTTAAAGTGTCATTTTGCCTCATAAGAAGATCTATTGTATGTTTTAGTAATTTTTTTATTTTGTGATTACTGCCAATCGTAATAAAATTACGATCAAAGATCGTTTACCGTTTCATACTACGTATATTGAACTAAATTCACGGTAGTATACGAAATTTTATTTATGTATTTCGTAAATCTGTAGCATACAATATGGAATTTTGATTTTTTTTCAAAACATTTACAAATAAATTGATTTTAGCGGTACTTGATTCGAATCCGAGAAAGGAAATAATTATTCGCAACGGTTTCTTATAAGAAAATATTCTTATAAGTTTACATAATCTCAGTTCACAATTCAGCATTTATTATAATTATGTTTGTTGGGTTAATTTAATTGTAAAATTGTGAATTTCAAAACCAATTAAAAATATCTACGACTCATTTGTGACATTTTCACTGACATCTGATGAGAATTAAAAAAAAGCAATTTGACTTTTCAGAACAAAAATATTTTTCTTCTATGAAACTATTTTTTTTGTAAAAAGTGAAGATAAAAAAGTTCATGCTTTTTTGAGTTAAAATTTTCGTAATTTATTGTTAATTTTAAAATTAAATTTTTTTTAGAGTGTTTTGTTTCATTAATTTAAATTTTTACATTTAAATTTTTTTTCCACTCTATAGTTACATACATATATAAAAAAAAAATTTATTAAAATCGAATTAACAAACTCAAAATTGTAAAAAAAGAAATTTATTCAATTTGTAAATAAAACAGAATCAATAATTAAAATAAATGTTTTAACATTGAAGCGAAACCAAAAGAATTAAAGGTTTTTATAAGAAATATAGAACAGTTTTTCAATAAGGTAGCGTCAAATTAAATAAGGTAGAGAAGACAAGGTAACGCGAAGGTATTTTGTATACTATAAAAATTAAAACAATAAATCAATTTCGTAATAAAAAGATATCTATTCCAATTAACTTCAGGAAGAGAACCGAAATCTGGAATTTTTACATTCATTAGTGTAGTATATTTGTAATATTTATAAAAGGCAATGGATTTGGATCCACAAGATCTACCATCCACACAACAAACTCAACAGCAACCAAATATTTTTAATGGATTCGGTTCAACGGATTCTTCAATGTTTCAACAAAATTATCAACATCAACAACCACAACAACAACAACAAATATTCCCAGTTTCTGGGTCTTTCGGTACTATAAATCAGGCAATACCAATGCCCGCTCCACCTGGTATGCAAGCAGATACTGTTATATCACAACAAACAATGGAAATTCAATCAAATAATCAATTATCAACGCAACCTTCCAATGAAATTCGACCTCCAGTAGATGTAGAAATCGATTCATTATTATTACAACAATTTAGTTGTTTAGGTACAACAGATCACGAAGATTTAATAAATCAATTACAAAGTTTAATGAATAATCAATGTAATAAAGATACTGCAAGATTTTTCTTGGAAATGAGTAATTGGTATGAAAATTGTGTAATATGCAATGATTTATAAGAAAAAAAATTAAATAAAATTCTCTTGTATTTTTAGGAATTTGCAAACTGCCGTGTGTTGTTATTTAGATTATTATCAAATGTCTGTATTACCATCTATGAAAATTTTAGAAACATCCCGTCCATCTGAATTAACACAAGTATGGAAATTACAAAATAATGGTAATGAACAATGGCCAACGGGATGTTATTTAATGTCACAAAGTCAAACAAAACGCATCGAAGTTCCAGCAATAAGATCTGGTGAAACATGTAATATACATGCTGATATACCATTGTCTAGCCCTCCGATTAAATGGCGATTATGTACACCAAATGGCTGTTGTTTTGGAGGTAAAAAAATAATAATACGAGTATAGAAAATGATTTTAAATAAAATTATTGTTTATATTATTATCAGATTTTGATATTGCGACAGAAAAGTTTTTCTTTGTTTTTTATTAATTTTTAAAATTTGTGACGTCATACTTAAAGCTTTTTCATGATAATGACAAATTTTTAATTACATACATTAAAATTTTGATTCGATTGCAAATCATTATAAAACGCATATCGATGTAATGCAGATATGTATATTTATTGTATAACATGATTTAACATGTTCAGTTATTCGTAAACATAAAAGTACAAAGACCTGAAAGTTTTGTTATGTACATACATACGTACATACACTTGTAGGTATAATGCACATTGTACGCTTATTGTTTTCAAAAAGCAAAGTATTTTTAGCACGGCTGATTTTTTCATTGTGCGTTTATTGTTATTGTTGTTAGAGAAAATTTAAGGTCAAAATTTTTGCGTCTTAACATTTTTATAAAAATATGAAAATATGGGCTTATTTTTTGTAATTCTTGTTTTTTTTTCCATAGAAATGCATTGCTTTCAGTTTACTTTTTAATAAAAGATTTTCTAATCTTATTATTTTTTTTTAGAAACGATATGGATGGTACCATCAGATTCAGAAGATGAAACATCAGATTTAGCGAATAGAATGTCACAATTACGCACAACGCAACAAGATACGACAACTGCAACATCGACAGAAAATTTTCCTCAAGTAAATGTTGTGATATCGGTTAAAATGGATTAAAAATAAGAAATCCTTGATTTTTTTTTTTTAATTTTATTTTTATTCTTATAAGAAATTGTTGTTTTTCTATTATTAATGTAAATTAATGTAATAATACATTTATAAAACTTTATATATACACACATTTATATATATAAGAAAATTAATTATTTTCTATTTAAAATAGTTAAAAAAATAATGAAAATGTAAAGGAAAAAATATTTTAAGAATTTTTTAATTCTTACTTTCGAATTTGAAAAAACGGAACAAAAAATAATATATAAAAAAAAAACACTATTTTTAAATTTAAATTAATTTTTTTTCTCAATTAACTAAGAATTTATTGAAAAATATTAAAAAAAAAATAGAAATTTTAAGTAAATTTACAATTTGGTACCTACAATAGGTTTTGATTTTGAATTAATTAAAATTGAATTTTATCGAAAGGAAATCTTAAGAAGTTATTAAATATACCTTGCAAATTTCTTATGTAAATTGATATTATAACTTTATTATTATCATTTTTTTTATTAACAGGTTTTGAAATATGTATATTTTTATTTTATTTAAACACAAGTATTTAAAATCTTGAAATTTGTAAGAAATTGTAAAAATACTTAAGTATTCAAACTATTTTTTTTTACTTTGGAAAACGTTACTTGGTTTTTATATGATTTAAAATAATACTTTTAAAATTTATTAAATAGTAAGAATATAATTAATGGTTTATATATTTAAATTTTGGTTTAATTTTATGTACTTTTGTATACAATTAAGTAAAATATGCTTTAAAATTTAAAATGGTTTGAACGGAAACATTTTTTCTAAAAGAATGAGTTTTTCTAATAATAAATTTTCAAAATTTTGACCTCATACGATAATGATAATAAAATGTTTTAAAATCAACTTATTGTAAGGTACCTTAATTTTCAATTAGAAAATTCAAAGTTTAAATGAATTAATTTTTTTGGGCATAAGGGTTTTGTTTTTAATTTTTCTATATTATGTATTTCATTTTTATAATAGTTATATAAGATGAAAATAAAATAATTTATTTTGTTCTTTGTTTTCGCAATTAAAAAAAGAAGAGAAAAATAAAAAGGTACGGAAATTTAAATGGAAAATATCAGGAGAATTTTTTATTATTTTTTTTTTTTTAGTTTTTGCCAATATTTTAATTTTTTAAAATCATGATTAAATTTTATGAAAACTTTAATAGTTCTTGAATATTTATTTTATTTTTTGTAATTTATTTAATTTTTTTCAATTTAACTCGATTGTTAAAGTAAAAATAAATGAATTCTGTTGGTATTGTACAAAATAAACATTTTAATCATAATATAAAAACTAAATAATTGTAAAACACTTAGAAATTTGTTCAAAAATTATTTAAAATTAGTTTTTTTTTTTTAATTTTATTTTAAAATTATTTTTTAAATTTAAATTTATTTGAATTAGGTTTTTTTTTCATTTTTCTTCCAATTTCCTATATTTCTATATCATTTTAAGTAAAAAAATGAGTGTATTCTTATAAAGAAAGAACAAAAATTATGCGTTGTAAACAAATAAAAAATAAAATTAATATTTTTTTTTTCATTTAATATAATTATTCTGAGGCTGAAAAAGACTAACTCTTGAAAAATAAAAAAAAAAAATAGATTAAATAAAACTATTATCTACTAAAATATAAGTCTCAATATTTAAATTTTAGAATATGTAAAAAAAAAATAAAGAAAAAATAAAAAAAAAGGATTTTTTAAAACTATATAACGAGAATTTAAGTTGCATGTATAAATTTCTGTACTTTATCCGTTTCATTTATTTTAACCTTTCTTTAAAATTGATAAAAGTATAGAAGAAAAAATTAATTTCAAATAATTTAAAGTTCTCTCTTAAAAATAATCAAATAATGAATGTTATTATTAATTCTTTTTAAAAATAATATTTGTTCACATTATAATGTAAATAATTTTTTCTAAAAATTTAAGCTCAACCTTAAAATCAATTTTATTTTTGTCCCATAAATATGATATTATTACTTAAATAATGGTGTTCAGGAGTACAAATTCATTCAAATTAAAATAAAATTAATTTATTATGATATGAAAACTCAAATTAATGAAATTTTTGTAAATCAAACTAACTTTTCCAATTTATACAAAATTTGTATTAAAAGAATTTATTAATGAATTCACAAAATTTGTCTATTTTTTTTTTAAAAGCAAACCTTTTTTGTAAAATTAATATTATATTTTCAATTGTAATTTATTTGTTCTTAAGAAAAAAAATCTCACTATTTTTATATACATATTAATATTTAATTAATATATAATTTTCTGTTCTAAAAATATTTTATTTTATCATCCCAGTAACTTGTTAAATATTAACTGAATGAATGAAAGAAAATTATGTAAAATCATATGTAACATGAACAAGGCTGTACATATGTATGTATATGTAACTATTTTTTCAATCCAATTCTGAGTATGTGAATCAATTCTTAATATTTTTAACGTCGAAAATATTAACATTTTATTATATTTTTTTTTTATATTTTTGTTAAAACAAAAACTGAAGGTTAAGCAGAACTTAAGGTGAATGAATATTATTCAAAAATTTTGAAATAATTTTAAGCTATTTTTGAATAATAACCACATTAGCTTAAGTGATGCGGCTAAGACAATATAATAAATACGAAATACAAAAATTAATTATTTTTTATTATAAAATATTCATATTTATAATATGTATATTTTCTCTTATTTCATTAAAATATTTATGAAAATTTTAAAAAATATAATTTTAATTTTTCGAAATTAAATGTGATATCGATTGCGCTACTTTGTACCAAATAAAAATTAGATAAATTTTCTTCTATAAAACAAATTTCTTTTTCTACTGAATTTTCTTCTACTAAATCATTTCTTTGTCTTATCCAATTGTATAATTAAAAATTAAATTACATATTTTCAAATTTTTCTTTCAAATTACTAACAATAAATTTTTTTTAACCAAAAAATATATGCAACTTGAATTCAATTTAAAACAAAAAAAAATAATAATAATTAATATTTAATTAAAAGTTTTATACAATTAAAACAATTTAAGAAAACAAAAAAAATTTATATTATATATGTATATAAATATATATGTATATTATATACATAAACAAAAATATTTACTTATATTTAATGAAATAGTTAAAAATTTTTATTAAGTTTAAGTCTAATTAATATTTAATTATTACAAATCATACAAAATAAATTAAAAAACGTAAAAAAAAATCAAAGATATAATTACAAAAACAGTATATGAATGGATTTATTATTTAATTAATTCGAGTTTTAATAATATTAAAATAATTTCAAATGATTGAATGAATAATAAAAGTATAAAAAATACAAAAAAATATAAATATATAATTTATCATTATAAAAAATATATAATTATACTTAAATATATAGTATAAATATATAAAAATACAATATTAATAATTATAATTATATTATTAGAGTTATACTATAAATTATATATGAAATATAAAAATTATATATTGTAAAAGAGTAAATGATTTCTTGATTTTTATTGTAGAATTAACTGCAAAAATAACAAAAAAAAAAAAAAACAAAAACAAAAAAAAAATAAAAAATATTAAAAAAATCTTTATATAATCTTGTTTAACTTAAGTCGATTTTTTGATAAGGATGTATGTACTTCAAAAAGAGGATATTGTGCAAAAAAATGCAACAAATTTTCACCTTTCAAATTGTAGAAGCGATTTTAGCATGACAATCTAGACAATAATTTTATCTCTGCTTTAATCTATTTTTACTTTGTGCTCTATCTTACTTTACTATTAATACCATTAATTTTACCCATAAACGGGGTTTATATAAGTATAACACTCTACCTTTTTATGTCCACATAATTTAAATTTCAAATTTAAAGTTTCCAAAATATTCGATTTAAGTGAATTTAAGTGAAATGGTTGTCTAATTAATTAGATCTACATATGTATCTAGTTCATTAGTATCTGACATTGCTATCTTATTCTTATCGGGGATATTTTCAGCTTTATACTTAAAACAGGCATATATGTATGTAGCTTGAAACTTAAAGCTGCTACATTAAGTCGCGGATTGCTGCGGTAATCAAGAACGTAAGTGTTTTCTTGCCTCCATTCATTATTTTTTTTCCACAAACACAGTTCGTGTAATTTCTTCATTATCAAACTAATTAAAATTTTATATTATCAAACTAATATTAAGTCTAATAATTTTTTTTTGTTCAGTTAAATTATACTCCAGCAACTTACCTTTAATATTATTATAAGATTCTGTAATTCCATAATATTTTTTTAACAATATAATTTTTTTTTTTTAATATTTCAACGGATAATTCAGAATTTTTAATTAAATTTTAAAAAAATTATAAAAAAATATTAAAAACATTAATAAAACTAATTAAAAAAGACAAATTTATATATAATATGTTAGTTTGTACTTTAAATTTCAATTTCACATTAATTATTGTGGCAGTTAATATAAAAAAAAAAATTATTATTTCGAGTCTCGTTTTAAAAAGTCAACGAAAAAAATGTTAAAGCTAAAATTATTATTATTTTTTTCTTCATTATTATTATCGTTTTTGATTTATTATTAAATGTCATTTTAATGTCATAATTTCCCTCGTACAATTTAACGATAAATTGTATATACTCTTCTAACTTTAAGTTATTTCCATATTACAATATAATATACATTAACTGATATATTACATATTATTATATTTATATATAAAATTATTATTTAAAAATGTCAAGAAAAATAAAAACAACATAAAAAATATATGTCATCTCATAGCAATAGATAATATTTAATGTACATATCTAGTATACATATAACACGTAAACATAATAACCGTATGTATATTTTATTACAAATACTATTACAAAAATATTTTATATACTCAAAATTAATATTTTAATAATACTAACAACAACAACAACTATTTTTCTTACCGTAGTGAGGTTTGTTTTATGTTTTGCTTTTTTTTTCTTGTTTTTCTATCACGCACGAGAAATAAAATAGATAAGTTTTATTTTTGAATTCAGTTCGGATTTTTCGAAGATACAAATCGTACGAAAAGAAAATTTTCTTATTAATAAAAAAAAAAAAACATTTTTTTTTTTTTTCATTTTATCTAGAATTTAATTATTAAATATCACAATATTATTATGATTTTCTTTTATTATTTTTACATTTTGTCGACTTGAAATTCTTTTCGATTTTTTTTTTTTTTGTTGGTGATTTTTTAAAAAAATTTTTCGTTTCTCATTAAAATT